GAGTAAGAGAGTAGGTACACGCAGGTGCGACGGGGGGCAGGAGCGCGCGCGAATCGATCGCGGGGTCCGCGACGCGAAACGCCGCGACGCGGCGACGAACGAACGGTGCGGCCGAAAATTCGCGTGACGAGAACGCGAAATGGGGAACGCGCGCGGCGTCTCCCTTGCGGAAATCAATAAGCGGCGATCGCAGAGCGTGTTTCTCCGCGCCGTCCTGATGCTTCCCGGTTTCGTCGACGATTCGACCTCGCGCGCGCGAGCCGGCAAAAAAAACCTCTACATATCCCCTGAAGAAAGAAAGAAAGAAAGAAAGAAAGAACCTACCCCCTCTGCATACGGTTCGCCTCTCTCGTTCGCTCGTTAAAACCAGAGGATACTGACCGTGGACGACGAAAAGGACGACGTCTTTCTTTTCCTCCTCCTCCTCCTTCTCCGCCGGCGCACCACTTCTTCCACCGATTTCGCCGTCGACCGCGGCCACGACGACGCGCGCCACGCAGGCCGGTGTCCCCTTCGAGGACGATGCCGCCGGAGGACGATGCCGCCGTGCGCGTCGCGGCAGATTCGCGGCCCGGCGCCCGAGAGCTTTCCACGGATACTCCCTGTCTTTTATTCTCCCGATTTTCTCTCCGCTATCTCGTATTCCTCCTCTTTCACCTGTTCTACCGATTTCCTTTTTTTCCCCTCGATCACGGAATAATTTCGTTAAAAGCGCACGGCGGCGAAGGAACGACGAAGGAGGAACGACTGCCCTACGAGGCGACTGTATACGTCCCTCCTCGCGCGTCCTCACCCCCTACACCCCTTCTCCACGCTTGGATCCCTTTCTCTTTCCACGGCATCTCTCTTTCACGTCTCTCGACGTTATCGTGGCGCACGCGCCAGGTGTGTCCTTCCTCTCTACCCTCCGCGTGTGCGCTCTCTCCATTCTCTCTCTTTGCCTATCTCACCTTCTCTCTTTCCCCTTTCCCTCCTTCGTCGCTCTCTCGCGCGCGCGATCTATTTCGTATTCGTTCTTCCTGCACGTCCCGCTCAGCTCGCTCGCTACGCTCGCGCTTGTTCGGCCGTCGCATCGACGCGTCCGGACATGGTGAACGAGATTCTTGTGCCTCTTCGTTCGCTCGCACGTTCGCTCCGTTCGCTCGCAGCCATCATCATCGTTCCTCGTCAGGACGTTTGCGCACTCGAGCCACTGGCATGAGTCGGGACAAGAGGAATGAAAGCATGAGGCAAAGGGACCACCCGGAGACGCTCCTCCGTCCTTCAGTGATGAAGGAATCCCGCGCGAGCCGGCTCGAATTACGGCGAATTGACCTATTTGCCTCAAAGGGGTGGGTTGCGCTCCTTCGGTAGGAGACGAGCCCGCTCTTGCGAGAAGCGTCCGGAATCGTAAGCCGGATAAGGGCGCAATGTCGTAGAGCGCGACCTCGAAGCCGCTCTCCGCAATTTCCCTTCCCTTTGTATGCAAGCGGCGGCGCTCGATTGCACAAAAGGGAGAGGGATCGAGGGTCGGGAAATCTTGGAGCGAATCCCTCTCCTCTTTCTCTCTCTTCTTCTTCTCTCTCTCTCTCTCTCTCTCTCTCTCTCTTTCTGTCGCCTTTACCCCTCGTCCCTCTCCGGCCATCGGATTCGCGTTTCTTTTCTTCTCGAGACTTGCCGCGCGTAACCAGAGCGCGCTATTATATCGGGCGTTCGGTCGGTCGATCCCAGGGTTGCTCCCGCTTTCCGGAGAAGTATGCCAGGAATTTATAGAATCCATCGGGGATATCGGCAAACTGATCCCATCCCGTCTGGATATTTCTTGAACCACCACAAACGTAGATATACAATTCTGAACGAATATTCGAATTATAATTATCACGCTGCGGAAATTTGATTGGCACGAATTTATTAATAACCGATATGTGGATCATTAACGTGTTTTTGTATACATGTGCTATGACGCGACACAGATTATGACGGTATACGATACGTATTAATGTGCAGGCTTTATAAAAAACGTCATAGGTATTTATGATAAATGTTATAAATGCGTGCATATGCATATACGTATTATATGCAATTCTTATTATGTAATATTACCGATGGCAATATTACTATTAATATCGATATCATTTAATGTATCAATAATTAGCATAAATGATAAAACTATATATACATATATTCTGAGTAAATAATTAAAAACAATTTATATTTACAGAAAGTGACTTTCATTTTCTAAATTTTGCCCGAATACGTTTTCAGAATGAGACAGTTATATTTAATTCTATGTTCCGAGAATATCTCTGCCAAGAAACTTCGCAGAAACGCTTCTATTTCCGTGAATTTCCTCGCGTTTTCTCTCGATTGAGGAAGGCTCGGCTTCTCCCGGGCAAGAGATGTAGGCGGCATCGCCTAGCGTTAATCCTGTCATCGACATCGGTCCGCGGAACTTTACGGCGGCGACTTCCGGCTCCGCCGTGAGAGTATATCGATAGACACATCGGGGCGAAATTACGCTCGGGGATCCTCTGGCGTTGGCGTTTCGAGGTCACCAGGCGCCCCCGCCAGGATCTCCGGCGCGCGGATACACCGAAAAGCCCCTGACTGGTCGACTCTACGCGGAGGCGCTT